GACAAACAAGAGCCCGGGTTCTCTGCGTGGTGATCCGAGGCAAGTACTGCTTGAACCTTCAAGCATCTTCCTACAGCAACACATCCGGACTGGCAGGCCTGGAGACTGCCGGTGGAATCGGCCCTTTCCCTAAGGTCAGAGGAGTCATACAAGGAGGGAGCCCTGTACTCCCTCAGCCCCCAGAGCACCCACCATCACTGCTTTCTCATACACCCCTTTTCATTTCCAGAATGTCTGTGAATAGTATGGTGCTTCTATTTTAGATATAACATGCCTAAAACAGCTCATCAGTTTGTAAGTTTCTAACACGTGTGGCCTTGGGCAAAGTATGCATCTCTTTGAGTATCACTTTCCTCACCTGAAAAATAGACCAAAAAATAGCTCTCCCCACCTGAGTTAGTGTGAAGGGTCAAAGTGTCATTTTGTGGGAAAGTGCCAGGCTCCATGCATGCTTCAGAGAAATCCTTGTACCTTGTGATGGCAAGAGTCTACCTCCAATGCAAGTTCATGGAATGCCTTGATAGCCACGGGTTATTCATTCCACAAACCAGAGAGATGTCTGTAATTATGCTGTTGTTACGGCCATTGTAGAGTTATCTGTGGTCTCTGAAATAGAGAGCCCTGCTTTCCTGAAAGATCCTGACCTATGCTAAGCAGCTCTCTGCCTTGCAGAGATTTTACCAGAGCCCAGAGTAAGCTGGGCTCTGGGAAGCTGACCACGGGCTGGTTTGTCTCTCGGGGGTGGGGGTTGAGGGGTGGGGGGTGATCCTCCTACAGGGTGGTCTGGTCTCTTTAAGAAAGAAAAAGTTACATAGACAAAAAAAAAAAACCCAAAAAAAAAAAAAACACAGCAATACAAACCAACCAAAAATGCCAGGAATGCAAGCTTTGCCAACCAAATAAATAAATAAAATGTGAGATACTTTATAATAACTGGACATGATGCATTTCTCAACTCTGCATAATTGAAATACTACTTTTCCATCAGCCCTTCACCCTGACTCCTAGTTTTGGTGGCCCTCTTTTTTTTTTTTTTTTTAATATTTTTATTTATTTCTAGGAGAGAGAGAGAGAGACAGCGTGAGCAGGGGAGGGTCAGAGAGAGAGGGAGTCACAGACTGAAACGGGCTCCAGGCTCTGAGCTGGCAGTCAGCACAGAGCCCGACGCGGGGCTCGAACCCACGAACCGCGAGATCATGACCTAAGCGAAAGTCGGACGCTTAACAGACTAAGCCACCCAGGCGCCCCTTGGTGGCCCTCTTGCTTGCTTAGAGATAGTACTGATAACCCCCATCACCCAAAGTAACTGACTAACCCCTGTGCCTTTAGCTGTGAGTTGGGACCCTGAGGTACTCAGACACTCTGAAAGTTACCTGGCTCACTCTGTTTGCTCTGTGGGCCACAGAATGGAACCTCGTTGGTATGGGATCTCAGCTAAGGAGATGAAAAAGTTCTCTCCAACTTTACTTTCTCTCTCAAAAAGGAGATGAGGGGAAGTATATGATACAGCAACAGCCCCTGTTAAACATTTCAAGGGGCCCCTGAAAATTTTACACTGGTTTTCTGTTGATTTGTTTTCTAGTTAACTGCTTACAATCTACTTGGGGTCAGTACTGCTTTAAGATTTTGTACACATCAAGAGACATAATTCTCCTAACAACCCTATGAGATAGAACAATTATTACAATCATTTTGCAGATACAGGAGCTGGAGCACAGAGAGATGAAGTAACGTGTCCAAAGTCACACAGCTAGGAAGTGGCAGGGCTGGGATTCAAACCCAGACAGGCTGGCTCCAGACCCCGGGCTCTGAACCACTGGGCTGGTTAGTCACTAATGGAGTGTGGTCCGTGGGAGTCTGGAAGCACAGAAAACGAGTGAGCCTGGGCAGCTCTGCCCTCATTTGTCTACGCTGATGAAGACATAAAGACTGACCAGAGGAATGACAAGAAGGAACAAATCTTCTTCCTGTCTCTAAGGACTACATGGGTCCCCACTGGGGGGAGTGGGGGAAGGGGTTCTTTCATTCTTGTAAAATAGCAAACATGGAGAATTAGCACTCTTGCTCTTCTCTGAGCATTATGCTCACCTCACCAGGAAGGTGGAGTGGAGAAAGAGGGGGAACATTAAGCAGCTTGGGAATGTATTTGCTTTGGCACCCAGCCTCCACCCTTCTCGGTAAGCTCCACACCAAGAGGGAACTCCATGGACTCTCCATGGCTTTGTTTTCTTTTAGCCCATTTAAGATCTGAGAGCCTGGCAATCATATATTGCAATTAGAATGGTACACCCACTTTACACTTACAAGGAATACACAAGTCCAAAGTTATTTCAAAGTGTATGTTAATTTGGCACTTAAAGCTGTTGAAAATCGGTGGAGATCAATCTAGAAGAAAAATGTATAAAGGTTCAGGATCAGGTCCTAGCCACAGGGACAGGCAAATAACCCAGGACTCGTATTTCAGCACCTACTTCCCTACTGCCTCTCTTTGGCTCCTGTATTTAGGGAGGGAAAGTCTTGGTTTAATTATTTAAGGCAGATAAGATCCCAAATTAGTTATCTCCACACATAAGAAACTAAACAACCCAAAGAATCATTCTGAAAAATATTTAAGTCACAGCTGTGGACACAAAGCCATGCTGTGAAAAGTTAAACTTTAAACACATGTCCTATATGGTCTGATGGGCAAAGCAAATCCCCACTTAGCCAGTGTCTTCTCCATCCACCGCCCCCCTCCCCAAAGGCAGGCAGCCCTGGCCAATGTTTCTTCTATCCTTGCACCTGCAAGCTAAGCTTCAACTGACATTTCTTTGCTGAGCTTTTCAAATGTAATCTGCAGTATTACTCAGGGCAGCATACGCTGAGAAGTTAGAAAAGGGATTAATTTTACTTTAGCCACTGGCTTACTAGATTTTCTTAAGTAAGTGACTTACCGTCTCTATGCCTCTATTTTCCTCTCTGAGATATGGGTACAATAGTCACATCTATGCTACCAAAAGTCCGGGGCGGGGGGGGGGACGGGACACAAACTTCTATACATATTTTCAAGCTTCTCTATTTTCCCCAAGATAGTGCCAGAAATCAAATCTCACTACAACAAATGGCAGAAGATTGCCCCATTCCTCTGACCTATTGACATTTTGTTGTGTTGAAGGATGCTTACAACACCTGATCAGTGACTTGTCAATCTTTTCTGGAAAAGAGAAGCACTGTAAAGATTCCTATTATAATAGATGCTGACTATAGCATTAGGGCTTCCTGTCCCCATTCTACAGACGGTAAAGTTAAGCAAAGTTACTTGTCCAGGGGCTTATTTTTTATCAATAACCAAAATAACAGCACCATATGCTCAAATCTCTAGAATATAATATTAAATTACCCCTCCCCCATTACTTCAGCTGTTTACTGTGATCTAAAACATGTGTTGCCAGGGGCTCTTCTTCATGCCTAGCTCACACAATCCACTGTAGGTATGTAGACTGACCTATCTTACACGATATTTCCCAGACAGCCAAATCTGTCTTACCCATAAACATGCATATAAACAAGACATTCTTAGGGAAAGAACCTATTCATTGAGTTTATGTCTTTGCTGGGAATGATCATTTCCTTCATACATGGTTTGGTTCAACTGTGACTAACAGAATTTATTCTGGCTTCCTTGAACCCCAAACACAACCATCGCTACAGCATCATTTCTGAACGGTAGCTCTAAGTGCCCCAAATGTCTCCACGGGTCTAGCTGAACTCAGCGTTGCCCCGACCGTCAACATCCCTGGGACAACAGTGTTGGCGTGCACTTCCCAGTGCAACCCCCAGTACTGGGTCTAACAGGAGAGGACACGGCCGTGTCTTTATTAACATTTCGGAATGTTCTCCAAATGACAAACCATCAGCTTGGCTTGGGTTCGAACTTTGAGCAGATTAAGAAAGGGTTAAAATAAGCAACTCATCATGGCAGAGGCAAAGAAGCCTGAACCACAGGCGGGAGCAGCTAAACTTATTGATAATCCGACCCCACAGAGAAGCAGGTTACTGCAATTAATTACTTTCCAGAAAGCATCGCCTTCTCACTGTATCTTATTATATACCTTTACCTCTAAAATCACTAATCTCTAAAAGATAGCTGGCAGTTCCCTATCCTAAAAGAAAACATCTATTCTCAGGCTGCATTATTCCAGGAATTCTGGGCTCCATGAAACGGCTGAGGATCAAAAATTGTATCTACGACAAAATAACATTTCTTTCCTCTCCCCTCCTTCTTCAAATCCTCCAAATCAAGGAATTAGACACCACCGGCAACCAAAGACACAACGTCGTGTTTGGTGTCAGGACGTTTACCCTCTTTTCACAGATTTTTGCTGGCAGAGGACAAATTTATGGCAGATTAGAACGATGGATAAAGTAAGTAACCTGCAGGAATAGAAGTGGGATGTTTCCAGAAGTTAAGATGATCATTTCAGTTCTACCATGTCCTCGCCCTCAACCCAGAAAAGAGGAGCTAGGGACATGTGACAGAGGGGCGCAGGACGGCAAGATGTTTGAAAATGTGCTTGCAGGCCAGCCAGTGAGACACTGTGTCGTCTCTTACTGCCCAGGGCCCTCCATCCAACACCAGTTTTGAGGGGTGCGGGGCCAGGGGATGATGTCTTCTGTGGCAGGGTCCACCCCGCCCCCACCCCCCCAGCGCTACAGAATAAGGCCAGAGCGTTCTCACTCATTTGGAAAGATAAAAAAGCAGGAATGGGGGTGCTGGCCATTCTATAAGCTTTTTCCCATTACTCACAAAAACACAGCTGTGAAAATAAATACCACCCCCCAAACAAGGGTCCCAGGCCACCAACAGCCTTCTTCTCTACCTTGCTTTCAGCTGCCCCCAGCATCGCCTCGCTCATGCAGAAACGCACTGCCTGGAAAGGAACAGCGAAGGGGGAAGAAGCGGAGGGGACCCCCGCCTCTGGCCGAAAGCTGGCGTGGGGGCCTCGACAGTCACCACTCACCCGGGGAGGGGAAAAGCTCCAGATCGACTTTTTCCGTCTTGATGATGGTGAGAGTCGGTTTGAGATCGACGGCCGCCTTCATGGTGCCAAGAGTGGGGGGCAGACAGGATTATAGCAAGTTTGCTGTTATTCTTGTTGTTTGTCTTTTTAATGAGGATTAGTAACAGGGGAAAGGGGACGGGGCGGGGGGGAATCTGACTTTCTTTCCTAAGATCTCTGGAAAGAAGAGAGTCTGGGCGCTGACTTTTCCTCCGCGCCCAGAAGGTGCGCGCCCGGCACTCTCCGGGGAAGTTGGCACTTTGCGGAGAAGTGCGCGCGCCCCGGGTCCCAGCTCGCCTGCGCCTCGCCCCGCTCCTCCTCGTCCTCGCCCCGCTCCTCCTCTCCGCCGGCAGGCAGCTTCAGCTCGCTCTTGCACTCCGGAGCCGCGCTCTCCCTCCCTCTCTCCCTCCTCTTTAGGGCGTTTCTCGCGGCGCCGAGCCTCGGCCGCCGGGTCTGCGCGTCGCCCCCCCCTTCCCCCAGGCTCTCCGCCGGGGGGGGGGGGGGAGCGAGGGGCGGGGACGGCGGGGGAGGGGGCGGTCCGGGGGCGGGGCCAGAGACCAGCGACCAATTGGCGGCGGCGGCCCAAAACGAAAGGAAGGCGGGGCGGGGCTCCGCGGCCGCCCGCGCCCAAGCCCGCTGCCTGCTGCCTGCCGGGGCCCCGCCGCCCTGCAGCAGGAGCCGAGCGCGGAGCCGGCGGGGCGCGGAGCCGGCTGCCGCGCTGGGAAGGGCCCAGGGCCGGCGAGCAGGCTGGGTGCAGAGGCTGCCATAGCCGTTTGGGGAAAGTCCGTCTGATTCGCCACGCATTCTTGAGGACTTGGTCACCGGCCCCTGCCCCCCCTCCCAGTAGCAGCATAGTTTTCGGAGTGCGTGTGCATCATTCATTCACAAAGACTGACACACAGGACGTGAGGCATGCGGAGGAAGGGGCGTGCGTGCAAGCGGGCGCAGGGGGTTCTCAAGCCAGTGTCCTCGAAGGGCTTTATGAGTCCTGGACTCTAGCCGGTTAGTGAGTCAGGAATCGGTTCGATATTTCTGGAGGAGCCTTCGACATTTCAGAGCCCACCCGTATCATGGTTAAGAAATGAACTCAGAAAAGACGGCGGCCGCGTTCGAGAGCAGAAATCATGTTTCGCTGTCCTTGAGAAGGATCAAGTCCAGAGCAGCCTCCTGGAGACCCCCAAACCAAGGCCCAAATACTTCCGTGTTATTGGGAGAGCAGAGAACAGGGCCCCCAAACGAATCCAATCCAGTTTACCTATAGCAGTGGTTGGGTGGAAGGGGAGGCTATTATTCTGTTCCTCTAATTACGGAGCCATTGGCTTTTCCTTTCCCAGACTCTCCTCCATTAGATAAAACTGAAAACCCTACTACTACCACCAGCACCAAAAAAGAAATTCAGAGGCTCTGTGGTTTTGAATTTCTGGAGTACATCATTCACAGCTGTGACACAATCAGCAATGCACACAGCCCCTGTTACACTTGGGAATTTCAGACACTTCGGACACCACAACAGGATCCCAAATAGTTAATGATTTTGCACCAATACATTGGTTACGTAAGTAGAGGTAGTTGGTTCTAATTAACAAAGCAACCAGTAAATACAGAGGTATGTATATAGACACACATAAGTGTAGCTAGAGCCAGACATTAAGATCTACCTTTGATTAACTAGAAGATTAACCATAAATCTTCTGAATAATCTCAGAAAAAAGTTATTTTTACTACTGTTTCCTGATTTCTAAGCATATGCTGACCTACCACCACCTGCCTGTAACTATAGCCTGACTCGGATCAACTTGAACACACCTGCTTACCTTTACCTAATCCCAGTTTGGTCTCCTTGAAGCATTGGTAACTTGCAAGTTTCCCACAGCAAATGAGAGAAGGAGCCAGGAACAGAAAATAAATCTCTAGCTCTTGGTTCAAACTTCAGATTATGCCCCTCCTTCAGTGACAAGAGGAAAATATTTGTATGTGATAATCCTAATTTTTGAAGGATTGTTGTAATCCAGCTGTGTTTCCAAAAGGTGTGAGAAAACAATGCTGGCCTCCAGAAGACAAGAACAGACACTTCTGATCCTGGGAAAAAGCTGGGGGAAACCGCTGATGAACGAACTGTACATTTACACGTCCGAATGAGCCGCAAAGGAGAGGATCTTGAACCAATCCTGCCTTGCCCGTTCTGAATACATCAGCAAAACAACTGCGCAAATCAAGAGTTGCTTTGGGGAATCTTGTTTTATTGATGTTGTGTTAAGAAAAGGCTGGTATTTTTAAAATCCAAGTGTGAGTTCTTTTCTGTTTGCAAAGGAAGCTTCCTCTGAGCCAGTCTTTTCTCTCTTCCCCAGAATCCTCCTCAGCTTTCTTCCTGCTGCCAACACCCCTCACCATTAGACACTACAAGAAGCCACCACGATCAAACCATAAACATTTTCCACTCTGGCAATGGGGAAGTTTATTCCTTCGGTCCTTCAACAATGACATCTCTCCTTGTCAGTCATTCTTTTGTAACCCAGTCCTGCAGCGCAGAAGCTCAAAATATTTGAAGGTCAAATCAAGAAAGGGGGTTAGGTAAGACAGGAAGGTGGGTAAGATAGCCAGAGACCACCACAGACCTTAGGAAATTGACTTCTACTTGACACTGATTGTGAATAGTGAGGTTATCAGAAATTATGCAACTTCGGATCTAACTGAAACTGCACTTGTGACAAGGGTTGCTAATATAAACAAGTTAAGACATTTTTTACATATTTGGGATGTTAATAATCCAATCAGGCTTGCGAGTATCAAACCAATTTTGATAAATGAAATTTTTATTCTCTTTATGACTCAAGTAGATTCTTGTAAATGTTCTATGGACTCCCTATGGCAATTCTATCTTACTGTAGCCAAAAAACCAACGAACTCCTGGCCCGCTGCCGGACACATGCCAGACACTCAATAAATACGTATGCGATAATGAACTATCAACTTCCTGGCCACTGTGGGCCCCTACTTTGCCACCAACTCTTTCTAATTTAAAGGGTAAGTGAGTAAGCTCTGCTATGGCTTGTGAAGATAAAATAAAAACTGTCAGTGACTCTGCCCCTAGGTCTGCTCCTTGTCCCCCGGGGGCAGAGCAGAACTCTTGTTCGCCAGCAATCATGTCCACTCAGGTTCAGTTATGCCTCAGTTTCCCCACCAGCAAAACGAGATCCGCTGGGCCTTGCCTTCCAGCTACTTGGCAAGTTGTTTCAAGACTCTGATTTTAAGATACTCAAGAAAAATCAACGAAGGGAATTCTTTGCTTCTGTCTGTTCCTCCTGCCCTTGGGAGAAAACAGAACTGTATCTTTAAACATCCCTGAGACCTAGGGAATTACATCCGGCAAGGGCTGAAACTCCTTAAACTAGGATCAAGTCAATAAGGGTCAAAACAAAGCTACAGGGGTTGGGGCATAGAGGAATGCAATTAGATGTTCATGATATCAAGGAACTAGTCACATTTTTACATAGAATTCTCTCACACACGTAGAAGATGTCAGAAACATAACCTTCCTCTTCTTTACTCCCCCCTCAATGCCACGCCAGCCTTAGTAAAAAAGAAATATAAAAACGACACCCCATTTCAAACTATCGTGGAAGATGGACTCCCCCTCTCCACAAGTGTGCTGGAATAAGTTATTTGTCTATTTCTTGAATCATAAGCTTCAACAAACAAAAGAACCTCTGAGTTTGGAGCTAAAATATGCTGTATTGGAGGTAGGTGCAAAAACATTCAGACCACTAACGGCTGATCCAGAACAAGTTTATGACTCACAGATGTTGATTTACTGGTTTAAATGTAAGATTTAAAAAAAAAAAAAAAAAAAAAAAAAAAGGTCCTCAACAACCTGTCTGAGTTGCGTTTGTGGTTGTTTTTCTCTGAGAAAAGGCAACAGTCCCCATCACACACAGGGACCTAGAAACAGGCGTCTAAAGCTTAACTCTAAAGCAAGTGGTTTCTATGTGATAAGTTGAGTCATTAAAAAAGCTCACTGGGGCAGAAAAATGCCTGGGGCTTCGATATCTACCGTTATCAAGCAGCAATAAAATGGCAAATTGGAGATCGAAAGGAAAATGAAAATAACTCTCCTAATTAAGCTCTGATGCCAAAAGGCCTGAGGGTCAGTTCAAGAACCCAAGTGGCGGGCTCAGGACTGCGCTGCTGCAGGCTGGCTCTGTGACCTCACCGAAGCCACTTAACCTTTCTGTGTCACAACCTCATCTCTGTTTCATGGAATAAAATCACCCCTGGCTCTCTCTACCATGTAATACAGGCTCATTAGCTATTGTTTAGAAGGTACAATAAACAATGGGCGATAAGAAGAGCAGTAATGGGGGGAAGGCTGTTGGGGGAGTTGGGCAGGAGGTGGGGGTGGGGTGCAGGGAGAGGCAGGACTTGGGGGCTGGTAGGCCCCCCGGGGAAGCTTCCACAATAAAACAAAGACCAGAGGAAGCAGTGTAGGCTCTGGAGTAGGACTCAGGTTCAACCTCCAGCTCTACTCACGAACCAGCTGAATTACTACTCACAAGTCACGTACTCCAAAACCTCAGCTCCTCCACATTTAAGGTACAGGCAATAATAAATAACACCCACCCTTTAGGGTTGTTTGGAGGATTAAGTGAGATGATGTATGCAAAGCACTTAGCAGTGTCTCGGTCAGAAAATGTGCTCCGTGAAAGTTATATATTGTTACTGCTCTTCATTTCCAGTATGAGGTAGAATATTCAAGAAATCATGTTAAATCTCTATGATCATCCATCCCCTTTGCAGAGTAATTTGGATCCTCTATTTAAGTGAATTGTCTTCAGGGAGAGATAGAGAGAATGATCATGTGGTATAATTGAAAAATCTCTCCAGACCCCTTCTTCAGTTCCTGATTTGGGAACCTGCCCAGCTTTGGTCTCAGTTGAGACATTCCAGCACCACCTGATTAGAAGAAAAAACTGCAGATTTATATTTGTTTTAAGAGTCATGGGAAGGGGTGCCTGGGTGGCTCAGCCGGTTAAGCGTCCGACTTCAGCTCAGGGCATGATCGCGTGATTTGTGGGTTCGAACCCCGCATCAGGCTCTGTGCTGATAGCTAGCTCAGAGCCTGGAGCCTGCTTTGGATTCTGTGTCTCCCTCTCTCTCTGACCCTCCCCTGCTCACTCACTCTCCTTCTCTCAGAAATAAATAAAAAAACATTTAAAAAAATTAAAAAAGAGTCATGGGAAAACCGTAGTTCAAGGTCAGAAGGAAGACTGTGTTTGTGGTGCCTCTGTGAGGACAAAATCTTAGGTCTTGGCTTCGTCACATGTTGGAGCTAGATGGGAGGTTCTCAGAGACGGTCAAGTCCAGCTCTCCTGCTCACCAGGGGTAAGAAATGAGCTTGAGAGAGTAGGTCACTCTGCCCAAGGCCACAGA